CCGAGGGGGCGCCGCAGAAGCCAAAGGTGTTCAACTTCAGCACGCCCGGGGCGCCGGGGGACGACAAGGGCCTGAGCGGCGCGCAGAGGAGCGAGGTTGACGAGCACAATCGCGAGTTTGAGAGGACGCACGACGGCGGGGGGGAGGGCCCGGAGAACAAGGTGGATGGTAGGTTCTGGGACGACAAGGGGAGGAGGAAGGGGAGGAAAGAAAATGTTTAAGAATGGGTTAAGAATGGGTTAAGAAGGAGGTTTGGCTGTGGGATTGTTGAGCTGTTGATTTGAATGTGTATACGCGGACACTGCAAGACTGTCATCTTTTATATTGTTGACTACTTTCGTTGGCTCATTATACATTAGGGTATATTTTTACATGAGTGGAATGACTATTTTTTCAGTGGACACCGTTTTGCGCTTGATATGATTGATGGCCGGGTGGACTGACACCGGAACCCTGGGCGTGCGTAATCGCTTCGTGATGCTGTCTGACCCAAGAATGCCAAGGCGGGGGTACACGATATCAGCCTCGGGTGTGGAAGAACCGCCAAGAGCATATGCCGTGTCGTGGCTGGTTTTTGACCTTTGCACCCGTGGAATGCAGTTCGAAGCACAGCCTGCCGAGATGCACATGCCATCCGTGAAGCCAGCGCAATGAAGGAACCATACAGCGGTTTTGCTTGTCCACCATTATCGACGGCAACGGCCGTGTCTACCATGGAACAGGCCAAGCCGGCCATCTCGCGCACGCGAGCAATAACACCTCTGATATTCGTCGACACACCATCTCGGCTCGTCTCTTATCCTCGCAAACCTGCCAAAGCTCACGGCCGGCCCAAAGCATTCGACCCAGCAATTTCGCCAATCACGCCCCGAACGTAGTCGACCAAGGCCTTCACCATGCCCTGCGGCTTGGCCCTGCCGTCGGCGCCGGCGCCGCGCACAGGCTCGGTGCCCATGGTGGGCAGCACGTTGTCGCCGGCCGACAGGCTGACGAAGAGCGCAAACGGGACCAGCCACACACAGAGGCCAAAGTAGGACGCGATCATGGAGAAGCTCGGCACGTCGACCTGGTCATAGTACGAGGAGCGCTGGTACGCGCGCGTCTGGGCGTCGGAGAAGTGTCGGAACCAGACGTAGTGATCGACGAGGACCAGGACTATTTCAGCCGTCAGGAGCTGGGGCCGCAAGGGGGCAGGGGGAGAAATAAAGCATACCGCACGACAGCAAGAACAGAGGATCAGACAGCTTCACAAACGGGAACCTGCGCATGTTGCCCAGGTAGACGACGTGGGCAAAGACGCCCAGCGTGGTCGCGCCGAGGGGGAACCCGTCCACCAGCCACAGCGCGAGCTGGACGCCGATGAGGGTGTAGATGAGGCGGGTGAGCAGGCGCTTGGCCACGACGGTGTGCTCCTCCACGAGCTCGGACAGGTAGTACAGGCCTGAGGCGATGGCGAGCGTCAGGAAGCAGAAGCCTATGACGGCGCCTGCGTAGCCGATCAGCGGCAAGATCCACATGGTTGCTTTGTGTTTCTGAAGACGAGCGCGGAGGGTGGAAGACAAGAGACGGGGAGGAAATAAAACTTGTTACGTATCGCCACGGGGGTCAAAGGCAGAGAAGAGGTATGGGAAGAAAGACAGATGGTGGTGGAATAAATTTGGAGTTTTGGATGGCGTCTGGTGTAATTGTACTAGGCAAGAGTGGACAGAGGACACGTCCAGGGGCGGCTTGTTGCGGGACGCTGCTTTCGGCACTTCAATTTCTTGACCTTTTACATTGCATGGCTTGCAGATTGTCTGCGCGCGTGGGCTGCTAGCGTGCTGCCCCTGGTGCCGCCGTGCTTTTATATTCAGCCGCGGGGAAGTCTACCTACATTAGCCAAGATGCTAAAAAAAAAATGAAGAAAAAAAGGGTAAAACCCTTGGTGTTGAAGACAAAGTCACAAGTATAAGACTGCACATGTGCGTAGCTGCCGTGGCGGTACCCTGACCCGGCCACGCCAAGTCCCTGTGGCTAGTGCCAGTACCCCGTTGTGCCCCGCCACCACCGCCTTATCGATAACCCTCCGTCCACGGAAGAGTAATAAAAAAAGAAGCCGTCCAAATCCCAGCTCCAAAAGCGACGCGAAATTGACCACACCCAAAGCCTGGCCGCTGCTCCCAACTCAATGTCAAGCGCTCAATTCCACCACCACAGCCAACATTATACCATAGTATAATCGACCACCAAGAACCGCCCGTCATGTCCCCCCCCGCGCCTCACCGACACTGCGAAAAAAAAAAAACCGCACTCAAGAACTAATCATGGCTCCCCGCCTCCCGCAGCGCAGCCGACGTGCACTACGATGACACCGAAGCGCGCAAATACACCACCAGCTCGCGGATCCAAAACATCCAAGCGTCCATGACGCGCCGGGCCCTCGAGCTCCTAAACCTCAAGACGCCCTCGCTCATCCTCGACGTCGGCTGCGGCAGCGGCCTGTCGGGCGAGATCCTGTCGGCCGTCGACCCCTCGGACGGCGGGCCTCACGCCTGGATCGGCATGGACGTGTCCCCCTCGATGCTGGACGTGGCCCTGCAGCGCGACGTGCAGGGCGACCTGCTGCTCGCCGACATGGGGCAGGGCGTGCCCTTCCGCGCGGGCACCTTCGACGCCGCCATCAGCATCTCGGCCGTCCAGTGGCTCTGCAGCGCCGAGACGAGCGACACCTCGCCCGCCGGCCGCCTGGCGCGCTTCTTCAACGGCCTGTACGCCGCCCTCCGCCGCGGCGGCCGCGCCGTCTGCCAGTTCTACCCCAAGAACGACGCCCAGCGCGCCATGATCACCCAGGCCGCCGTCAAGGCCGGCTTCGGCGCCGGCATCCTCGAGGACGACCCGGGCACCAAGAACGTCAAGCTGTACCTCGTGCTGACCGTGGGCAATGCCGCCGTGGCCGGGGGCCAGGGCGATATCACCGGCGTCGTCGCGGGCCTGGACGACGTGGACATCTTGGATGCGAGGCGGAGGGTCAAGACGGGCGCCGGGCCCTTGAGGAAGGGCAGCAGGGCGTGGATCGTCAAGAAGAAGGAGCAGCTGGAGCGCAAGGGCAAGGTTGTCAAGGCTTCTTCCAAGTACACGGGTCGCAAGCGCCGTCCGGCCTTTTAGACCGGGTTTTGGCTTGGGAAAAGAAGACAAGAGACATTTTACGTGAGAAATGGAAACAAGCTGGGGATTTTGAAATTTTCTGAATGGGGGGGAGAAGGGCATTGCATGGCGTTTTTTGGAATGGGACAAGTATAGTGATGACGTCTACTCACACACGAATATAAAAGTTAGATACCCTTTCGCATCCTTTGCTTTCTTTCTTCTTTTTTTTTTTTTTTTTTTTTTAATGCCAAGCTCGTGTTGTCATTGTTACTGCATTCCTAGGCTAGAGCGCCATTGGCTATTCGAAAGAATGGCGACAACTTTCTTACCATTCCCAATTCATAACCGCAGCAACCTATCTAAAAGTATGATATCTTTGCCGAAATCTAGAACACTGGTCCTAAAAAGAAAAAAAAATCTATACTAGTTTTATTCGGGCTTCATGGTGGGGAAAGCAAGAACCTCACGGATGCTGTAGTTGTCGGTCAAGAACATCATCATGCGGTCGATGCCCATGCCCCAACCGCCAGTGGGAGGCAGAGCGTGCTCGAGGGCCTGGCAGAAGGTCTCATCGGCCATCTGGGCCTCGTCGTCGCCCTGGGACTTCTGGCGGGCCTGCTCCTCGAACCGGAGACGCTGCTCGGCAGCAACGTTCAACTCGGTGTAGGCATTGACAATCTCCTTGGTGGAGACGAAGACCTCGAACCGCTCGCAGAGACCGGGGGTGGTGCGGGAGTCCTTGGCAAGGGGAGACATCATCTTGGGGTGGCCGATGATGAAGGTGGGGTTGATGGCTTGGGACTCGAGGTACTCGCCGACGAGGGCGTCGAGCATACGGGCGTTGGTCAGGGGCGGGCTGCACTCGACTCCGGTCTTGGCCAGGACCTTCTTGAAGAACTGGTTGGCCTCTTCGGTGTGGAGAGTGTCCGCAGGAGGGAACTTCTCGCCGACGGCCTCCTCGAGGGCGGGAATCATTTCAATTCTTCGCCAGGGACCCTCCCAGTTGATGTTGATTTCCTCGCCCTTGATGGTGTGGTAGACGGTCTTGTACGAGCCGTGAATGTGCTTGACCAGGCCGCTAACAAGCTCCTCAGTCATGGTCATTAGATCGTAAACATCAGCATACGCCATATAAAACTCAAGGGTGGTGAATTCTAAACAACTCTGTTAGTCTATGTGTTTGAAGCAGCCCAAGCTGGAAAAGGACGGGACCCAAAAAAAAAAAAAAAAGCCTACCAGGGTTGTGAGTGAGATCCATGCTCTCATTTCTAAACTGTCGTCCCATCTCGTAGACACGATTGAGACCACCGACAACAAGCATCTTGAGATACAACTCGGGAGCAACACGCAGGAACATATCCATGTTCAGGTCGTTGTGGTGGGTGATGAAAGGTCTGGCCGTGGCACCACCAGCAATAGGGTTGAGCATAGGGGTCTGCACGGAGACAAAGTCACGCTCGTCGAACCAGCGGCGAATGTATGAGTCGACCTTGGCGCGGGTGATGAATATTTGTCTAGACTTCTCATTCATCATGAGATCCAGGTATCGTTGGCGGAAACGAGTCTCGGGGTTCTTGAAACCATAGTGGTCGTCGGGAATCTAGGTCGTGGGGTGAGCAGATGGAATGATGGAATAGCACGGCAGGCCGGAGGGACGGGAAGAAACATACTTGGTGCAAGCAAGGAGACAAAAGAGTAATCTCGACAGCAGCAATCGACAGTTCGCCGGAATATTCACCTGAGCCCTGCTTGGTTTTGGGGTTTGTGCGGGTGGGGAATCCACGAATGCCGATAATGTCACCTCTTCGAAGGTTGACATGCTGCTCGTCAAAGCTGGGGGCCTTGTCGTCGAGGTTGTCGGCCTGGGCGAGGACCTGAAGTCTGGTGCCGTCGGAGCGGATATCGTAGAAGAAAAGCTTGGAACCAGCTGAGCGGCGGACATAGATTCTTCCAGCCAGCTGGATCATCCTGGACTTGTCGGTCTCGCCGTTCTTGAGGTGCTTGAATTCGTCCTCGAACTTGCGGATATCATAATCGATGTGGTACTGTATGAGTTAGACGCATTGTCCGCCTGGTGTGTATATACTCATTGAGGTTGTCTACCTTGTGGGGGTAAGCCTTGCCCTGGGCATGGAGCTCGTTGACTGTTCGTGATCTGATTTCAAAGTACTGAGAAGGTGATTGAATGTTAGTCGACCAACATTTCGTCTCTTTTCTTTATCAAAATTGAAGGGCAGGGTCTGCATGGGTTTGAATGGCTGCGCACCTGGTTGGGAGTGAGCTCCTTCTCGGCAGCCTCAGCGTTCTTGGTGCTGGCAGCCTGGGGCTTTGGATTCGCAGCAGCCTTCTCCTTCTTGGCCGCCTCCTTCTCACGCTGCTTCTGGCGCTTCTTGAGTTCGGTCTTGGAGATCATCTCGCCCGTCACTTCGTCGAGGTGAAGCTTGGCGACAGCGGCGGCGGCCTCGGCGGCGGCAGGCTCGCCTGAGGTAGCTGAGTTGTCCGGCATGGTATAGTTTGCGATTGTAAGGGTATCAAACAGTATGGTGGGCTCTGAGTGCAAATTGTCACTCCTCTCGCCGTTTATAGTCTTTTTTTTTTCCTTGTCGCAGGACGAGTCACGTTGGAGCGACAGACGGAGGGGCAGAAAATACAGTCACACACCCCGCCATACAAATTCGGAGGGGCATGTCAAGCCCTGGCGGCCGCCTTCGCCCTCCAACTTTTGCCAGGCACTGGACACCACCAACTGTGCGGAAATTTCGATTGGCCGGGTTCCCCGTGAGTCACGGGCATTCTTATTGGACAGGCGGGGGACCCTCTGGGATACGGCCTAAAAACTTCTAGAATCGCTTGTATGTATGTATGGACGTGGCTGGTAAACACGGGTCGGGAAGTGAATTTTTTTTTGAATAAAATCAATTGATTCTGTGCGTTGACATGTGAGGCTCTTTCTACGAGATTCGGACCTCAGTTTATGGAATGTGTCCTTTCGTACTGGCATGTCCAACTTGTACGGATGGCGGTGCTCCATGTAGGTGACGAGTTTGACAGAGTAGCAGCCATCAGCACGGCAGGCGCGATGCAGTCATGATGGCATCTTTGGGCCCCGCTGTACTACCCCGTACATCAGGTGCCCATCGACCAGGGCTTGCGCTGAGATGGATCCGCAACTCCATTACAGGCAGGATCATGTCTCTATATCCTCAAGAAAGCCTTCCTTGTACCAACTCTGGATTCCTTCATACCGCCGCCAGACTTGAGGCTTGTACATAATTTTTGTATCCTCCGTGTCCCCGTCCCACACGATGGCGCTGTCAACCAGAGCCGTTCAAACATACCAAAATGCCCCTACGACAGACCAACTCATGATGATCCTCAGCAATCTGTATGATGCGGAAACTAATCCTGACGGCTACGTGAACCTAGCAATAGCCGAAAACTCGTTGATGCACCATGCTTTGATTGACCACATGCACAAGAACATGGACATCCCCGACATGGCGCTCACCTACGGCGACGGACAGAGAAGACTCAGGAAGGCAGCCGCTCGCTTCCTCTCCAGGCACTTCAAGCCAGTGACGCCCATTGAACCGTCACACATGCACATCAGCAATGGATTGGCGCCGGCCATCCAGAACATAGCATGGGCCGCTGCAGATCCCGGTGACGCGCTGCTGTTGGGACGGCCATACTACGTGGCTTTCAAGCCAGATGTAAGCCGCCGCACCGGGGTGGAAGTACTGCCCGTTGCCTTTGGAGACCTGGATCCCATGGGCGTGGAAGCGGTGCAAAAGTACGAAGATGAGATTCTCAAGGCCAAGGACCGTGGCCAGCGTGTCGCCGGTGTCATCCTCGCTCACCCGCACAACCCGCTGGGACGGTGTTATCGCCGCGACGTCTTGATTGCCTTTATGAGGCTGTGTCAAAAGCACCAGATTCATCTCATATCAGATGAGATTTACGCCCTGTCGGTTTTTGAGAACAGGGTAGACAAGGATGCCGCGGCCGTCCCTTTTGAGTCTATTTTGTCCATCGATCCCGACGGCATCATTGACCCCGGTCTGATTCACGTCCTCTGGGGCATGTCAAAGGACTTTGGGGCCAATGGACTACGGATGGGCATTACCATCACGCAGCACAATCCAAGCATGCAAGCGGCTTTGATGTCGGTGTTTGAATTCTCGTGGACGTCTTCGCTGTCGGACCTTGTGACGGCGAATGCGCTCGACGATGACGAGTGGGTGGAAAGCTACATCAAGGAGAACCAGAGGAAACTGTCGGAGCATCAGGAAAAGGTGCTTTTGTGGGCCAAGCAGAATGAGATAGAATATACAAAGGGCAGCAATGCCGGCTTCTTTGTGTGGGTTAATTTGGGGGCCGCATATATAAAGCACCATCCGGGTGAGATTGAACATCTCGACAAGGCTGTAATTGATGCTCTGTTGGCGAAGAAGGTCTTGTTGGCAGACGGCATCGCGTATGGTGCTGAGCAGCCGGGCTGGTTTAGGATTATATTTTCACAAGAAGCGGGATATCTGGCGCAAGGCTTGCGGCGCATCATGGCTGCCGTCAAGGGAGAATGATAATGATGCAAGACGTCATGTGGGATCATGATGATACGACAGAGTATTCACTCCAACATGACGTTCCATATTCACTACTTGGACGTGCCTCCCCTTTCGGCCGCAACACCAATTTCACTTCTCCTCAACCAAAAGCAGGCTCCTGCTTGGCGCCGTCACAGCTCCCCAGATATCCAACACGGTCCTTGGTGTAAAACTCGACGCCAATCTTATTCCCCAAGCTCGCGGCGCCGCCGTCCAGCGAACCAGCCTTGACACAGGTCATGTCAGGCATGACCTCCAGCTCCGTGTACAGGCTGGATCCGCAATTCCCACAGAAGAAATGCTTGTTGATCTTGCCCGAGTCACCCCTCACATCCCACGTCTTGGGTGTCCCTGGCGGCTCATCAGCCCCTATTACGTCGTTCCCCTTACCAAAGAAAAAGGTGGCGGGCTCGCAGCTTACCCTTGGTGACCTTGAACGAAGTCCGCGGCACAACAGCGTTGGACGTAAACGCACCACCAGTCCACTACTCATGGTTCAGCATGTCTACAGCCCCAGGATCAAACAAAGCCGGACAAGATCTTTTTCACCTTTTGGCAATCCGTGCAGTGACACAGCGCCGTGACCGCCGGCTCGCCCTCAAACTGGAACTGGATCTCCCGACACGCACAGCTACCCTTTGTCGTCATTTTCGGCAGGATAGGAGGACTCCCAAACTAGTTGCTGTTGTTTATTTCCAAAAGCGGCATCAGTTGAGGCTCGACAAGTGTTCCGATTCGTTCCGTGCAGGAGGACATCAAGGTATGTGCACGACAAAAGGGTGTCCAGCCCAGCCCTCTATTTATACTTGCGACTCGACGGACAAGTGTAAGACAAGTGAATGCGGGGTTATTTACGTTTACGTCCGGGAGCATTTTCGAGCGGAAACTCGAAAGCTTGATTCGTTCCTCTTTGTTCGGGGGCGCCTCTCTCCGGCCGATGGGCCGATGGCGAGGGGATGGTTATCCGACGACCGCTTCTGGCTTAGTGCCCTTGCTGCTTTTGCCGCCGCACCTGTCGTCGTAGATCAATGATGTCAACCGGTGCATTTGGGACCAGTGACATTATGCAAACTGGGCAAAGGAGCGAGAAGGCGTCGTCTGGTACGGAGTACGGAGTATAGCGTCAACGGTCCTCCTTTTACAACTATGGGCCCTAATTAAACAGCTTAATATACGGCGGACACCGTCAACTTTATAAATACCTAGGTACACGTGTAATCAATGCAGACATCCTGAAGCGTCAATCCATCAGATACTCCTCGCCAACATATCCGCGTCGAAATGATCAGCTGACGTTCAATCACCCGTCCGCCAGCAAGAGAAGATGCCGCCCGTCTGCTCACGCACCCAGTACCAGGTACCAGACGACACTCACGAGCCTGTGCTTCATTGCGGACGGCCGAGCAGGCGGCGTTTCGGACATTTTTGGAGGTGGGATCGACTCCAAATCAGACAGCACGCATTGGCCAAGCAGACCGTCGTCACTGATGCCCAGAGGCATGCATGGCTCCTCTTTAAGCTGCCAAAGGCACAGTTGACCAGCACACCCCAAGTATCAGATTCATGTACAACATCATGACGATTCACCCGGTACCAATGCTTCAGAAAACCATTGAAACATTTCTATGCATTCAAAGAAAATAAAAAGGGACAAGGTTGCAAGGCCATGCTATACATTACACTGGTCACGGCATCCTTTCCCAATGTCTCCCCAGCGCGAGCGATGCCGTCAACCGCCTCCCTCGCCCGTCCTCGATTCCGCACTCTTCCCTAGTCGCGAGGTTTCATCTGTCATCACCCACACTCTATTGAGGTATCAAAAACATCTTGCAGTCGCTCTTCCTGCACTGATCCACAAGAAAACGGCGGTAAAACGTAGGAGTTTCAATTTTTTTTTGATTTTTTTTAAATTTCCCGCCATCTCGGCTTAAAACGGTGTCGGCGGAAAATATAATTTAAATGGCCTCCATCTTGTCGAGGATGGCCTTGGTGAACTCGTGGGTGGTTGATTCACCGCCCATGTCGCGGGTGCGGACCTTGCTGTACAAGTAGTCAGTATTTCTGCAAACAGGGCCCAAAGGCCAAGGCAAACAATTGCAACGTACCCCTCGGCAATAACGGCATAGATGGCCTTGGAAATGCGGTTGGCGTGGTCGTCGAGACCAAGGTGGCGCAGCAGCATGCTGCCGGACAGAATCATGGCGGTAGGGTTGGCCTGGTCCTTGCCCTTGATGTCAAGGCCGACGTGTCGGCACCCGGGCTCGAAGACGGCAACATCGCGGCCCATGTTGCAGCCGGGCACGATGCCAGGCCCGCCGACGAGAGCGGCGCCAATGTTGGACAGGATGCCGCCGTACAGGTTGGGCATGACCATGACGTCGAACTGCTGAGGGCGGGACACGGCCTGCATGGAGGCGTTGTCGACAATCATGTCGTTGACCTCGAGGGTGGGGTACTCCTTGGCGACGTTGTGGAAGGTGCTGCGGAACAGGCCGTCGGCCAGCTTCATGATGTTGGCCTTGTGGATGCACGTCACCTTGGAGCGGCCGTTGGCCAGGGCGAAGGAGAAGGCAAACTTGGCAATGCGCTCCGACTTGGCGCGGGTGATGATCTTGAGGGACTCGACGACGCCGGGGACGCTCTGGTGCTCGAGGCCAGAGTACTCGCCCTCGGTGTTCTCGCGGATAATGCACAGGTCGACGTCCTTGTGGCGCGTCTCGTAGCCGGGGATGTTCTTGATCAGGCTGATGGAGGCGTAGATGTCGAGCTCCTGCCGCATGGCCACGTTGAAGCTCTGGTGGCCGGACCGGCTGATGGGCGTGTGCAGGATGCCCTTGAGGCCGAGCTTGTTGCGCTTCAGCGAGGCGACGGACTCGCGGAAGGCGTCTTCGGTGCGGCCGGCGCCGTCAATGATGCCAGACACCTCGACCTGCTCCCACTCGATGGGGACGTTGTCGGCCTTGAAGATGGTCTTGACCGACTCGGCAACCTCGGCACCGATGCCGTCTCCGGGGATGAGGGTGACGGTGTACTTGCCGCCAAACTTGGCGGGCTTGAAGATGTCGGACTGGACGGTCGCCAACGATCTGGCGAACTGGTGCTGACCGGCAGCGCCGCGCAGCAGCTGGGCAATTGAAGATTAGCAACGCAACTCATTTGCGTCTTCGCACGCGTAGGACCAGTAGCGACGCGGGGACTTGGTGAGGTCCATGTCGGTTGTAGGTGTCTTGTGCTTTCAACCCATTCCCAACCGGCAACACCGCTCATGGCCTTGTCCGCAAAATTGCCGCCCAATTCGCACTCCCGGCCTCATGGCAGCCCAGCCTCTCCAAGTCCCGCATTTAAAACACGGAAGCAAAAGCGAGCCAAAAGAAAAAAATACATACCTGCGCTGTTCTAGCAGAGCCACGAGACAACATCGTGCCTAAATACAATAAAAACCCAGTAGCCCAATGGAGTTTAGCAAGTGACGGTGAAGAGAAAACCAACGGCGCCCGGGGGATTTAGTACAGAAATGTAGCGACAAGGGAAGAGACGAGGGGAGGCAGAAGGAAAAGAAAGAGAAGAAAAGTAAGTGCAAGTGCGGAAAAAAGGAAGCTTCGGTGTCGATGATGGTGTGGTTCCGTACGCCGTGGTCTGGGGCAGCGCGTCGTCGAAGCTGGTACGGCAAAGTTAAACTGGAGACTCTTGTGCATCTGCTGTGCTTCCATGGACGGACGGGGCGTGCCAATGGCCACGGCAACGTTTCCTCCAATGGACCCGAGCTGCCAGTGCCGGCGCTTCCCTTTGCGACTTTTTTTTTTCTCTTTCTTTCCCCCTTCCTACGCTTCCTCTTTGCGCCGCCTTGCTTGCTTTGGAAGCGCCTTTTTTTCCCCTCTCGGCCGGCCCGCATGGAACATGGGTTGGTTCGGAACAAGAGCGGAATTCGATCTGCTCCGAGCCTTAGAGCCGCATGGTTCGTGGGTGCCAACTAGCCCGGTTTAGGACCTGTGGATCCTTTTTTCTTTCTTCTGGTTACGGGACTACACCAGTGACGTGACTTCACTTTTGTTTCTCATCGAGGTATAAGCACTCCGTACCGTATATATAATACCATCAGGGTATCCCATACATGGTCCTTCTCTTTCTTCTGGTTACGGGACCAAGTATAATACTATAACTTCGCTTCTACTTCTCATCGAGGTATATGCACTCCGTACATGCCCAAGTATGCGGGGCACCCCACGCATGGTCCTTTTCGACTGCACTCAGTTCAACGCACCGCAAACATGCGCCAATCTGGCCGTATATTTACCAAACAGCCTGTACGAAATGACCCTATCAAAATTCACATCCGATAATGCGCCTACAGTCCATGAAACCGCGGCCCCATCGAGTCCATCCCGTTTTCCCTAACCGCAAGCATAAGCATCGCGTACACGAGCAACGTCCAAGACATAAATCATCCGCATCCATGTACTTTCATCCGCTTTGCGGTCTCGCAATCACGTCATGTCACATCTCCTCCTCGTCCAATGGCTCAACCCGGACAAGAATCTCCTCAAGCAATCCCTCCAGGAAGTTTCCCACCTCACGACCCATGCCTACAGGCTCTGCTTTGTCGCACTGGTCAATCTCCTTGCAAACATAGGCCAGTTTATACACCAGCTTTCTGATCTTCTCGTGCGCAGCCTCTGCTCGTTGCTGGTCTGCTGACACAGGACTACCGTTTTGCGCTGGTCTATATATTTGTTGTAGCCGAATCTGCCGCCTCTTAAGGGCTTCTTCGAGCGCAGGGAAGATGACATCATTGAGCGCATCCAGCTCTCCATTGGGATTAGCAGGAGCGGGAGACGGGAAAGATGACGGCTGAACAGATACATCAGATTGTGCTGGTGAGTGCGGATTCGGTGGAGGCGTGGGATTGCCTGCAGTAGGTGGCCGCTGTGACTGTGCTACTTGTTGGGAAGGGACCCTCGATGCTGATGGCCCCCTGTATGGAGGTATTTCTGGAATCGTCATGGATGGTACGCGGGAACCAGCTTGTCTTGTAGGTGAGTCTTGCTGCGCCCGTGGAAGCTGTTTGTCTGCTGGGTGTTGTGAGTGATGGGAAAGACTGGCCGGTGACGGGCTCATATTCAGATTGAGCATGTTAATGTCACGCTGCAGCTGATACTGGAGTTCCTGATCATACTCTGGCGACTGTGATGTTGGCGCGGGCGGCAACGGTCGTTGTGAGGGATGATGACTCGAAGGCGTCTCAGGCGTGTCGCGCGTCAACGTCCTGATGGGACTCGCAGACGGCGGTAATCTGGTTGGTGATGCTGTAGTAACATCTTCTGGCACCGGCTTCCGTTGCGGACTCGACTGCCTTGATGTGGCGGCGTTGCCGGCCTTGACCGTGTCGCTGGGCTGTAGAGCAATGTTTTTGGTCTTTAACGGGCTGGCATCACGACGTTTTTCGCTCTGGTCATTGGAGGTATCCAATGGTCGTGAGGACCGGGCATTGGTCGTACTCTCGTGCAAACCTGGTCGATGAACCAGGCCGCCGCGATCCCCAACCAGTCTGACGGTCCCAAAGTCCCACATGTCCTCATCCACCGTTTCTCGTTCTGCGGGAGCAGCACCTTCCTGGGCATCCCAATGTTCCTCATCATCGCTCTTGTGTGTGACGGCCCATCGGTTATGTCTTTCGATAAGTTCTGTGAGATATGTCGTCTTCTTCGCTTTTCTGATAAACGGATGTCGCAAGAGATCTCTAGCTGTCGGCCGGTCCTTCGGGTCCCGCTGCAAGCAGAGCTCGACAAAGTCCTTGAACGCTTTGGTAAAGTTGCCTTCTAGCCGAGGGGCAGGATTCTTAGGGATAAGGAATAGCACTTTCATAGGATGTATATCGGCGTACGGCGGTTCGCCATTGGCCAATTCCAGGGCCGTAATGCCCAGCGACCAAATGTCGGCCTTGTGATCGTAACCAGATTGCTTAATAACCTCCGGCGCCATCCAGAACGGGGTTCCGACAAAGGTATTCTTCTTGGTCATGGTAGCAGAGAGTTGGCCGGAGACACCGAAATCCGCCAGCTTGACCTGACCGCCAGCTCCAAGCAATACGTTGGCAGCTACCATAAGTCAGCCACACCCCAAGGAAATCGACCTCATATGCCATCCTCATGCATCTCCTCCGAGTAAAGCACATACCTTTGATATCCCGATGCAGCTTCTTGTCAGAGTGCAAATAATCCAGCCCCAGCAGCAGCTCCCTCAACATAATCGCAACATAATCCTCCTCAATCAAGCCTGGCTTCATCAAATCCGCACAACTACCACCGGCACAAAACTCCATGACAATCCACAACTCGGCACCCTTGGCATACGAGCCATAATACTTTGTGACGTACGGCGACTGCAGTTCGGACAGAATGGCGATTTCTTGAATAATGTCTTCGACTTCGTCCTCGGCGTTTTCAATGTCGATGATCTTGATGGCAACAGCCTGACCGGTCCGTTTGTCGACTCTGCAGGCATGTCAGGGTTCATTCCGACTCAGAAACAGTACGTCGACCCAAGCTTTAAGGCGGTTGGGGAGGGGGAGGGAAAGTTTATCAACGACGCACCCTTTGTAGACTTTGCCAAAGCTCCCACCACCTAGCTTCGTCAGCTCAATCACAGAACCCACCACAGACACACGCGTAACCGACCAATGCAGTATTCCTTGGAGTACAAGAGCTCCGGGTCCAACGCCTCGTTGGCCTCCTCGTCACGAAACCTCTCCGCCATCCTCAGAGTCGGTCAAGCAACCAAACCGTCCCGTCAAGTGGTGAAGCTGGCCTGTGCGCAAGCCCTAGCAAAAAGAACAAAGTAGAAAAGAAAATTCAGCAAGTCGTTGTCGAATTCTGTCCATCAACATTGAGCAGGCGTCGATGCCGCCGGTATCGTTATCGTTATCGCGTGTAACCAAAAGTCTTCGTTCTTGGAGGCCAAGACCAAACCCCTCCTTTCGAATGGCCGATGCAAGTAATATCGCCAATCGAGCGAATGTGCATAAAAACAAAAGGGAAATGTATGACAAAAGGAAAAAGAAGAAAAGAAAAATCTTATGAGAAGGCGGGAAAAGTCAGAAACAGGCAAATGGTCTGCCCTCACCTCTTCCCCATGCTTCACTTGGACCAAGGCGTGTGGTGAACAAAACAAATCGAGCCCGGGGCCTTCGATCTGGGCGGCCGTGTTTACAGACCCGTGGGGTTTCGCTGGTGATCAACGCCCAGGTGTTCGGGTGGAGCAGAGCTGAAGCTGATGCTGGGCAAGATGCACCAGGACATGTGGTGAGTGGGAGCCAAGGAAGGTACCAGACGGCACACGTCAGGGGCCAATCGGTTCAGGCACAGGCACCGGTTGCGAGACAAGAATGGGTCAAATGGTCAAGATTTAAATGATACACACTAAGTGCCTGGCTCGTCCGCTTAGTCGCTGAACGGGTAATGGGAAGTACTACTACGGAGCAGAGTGAAACGGCGACACCAACTAGACAGGTCTAGACACTGTTGCACGCCCCAGAAAATTAAAATATGCAATGGTACTTTGCATTGGGCTGCGATGCAGCCGACAGGGCTGATGACGAATGCAACATGACCACCACCCAGACCGTCGCCGCGCTCCCCAGCCACAACCTGTCGGGATAGTCGGAAACAATGAGCTGGCCAAATGACTCCTGCCTCTCTAGAAGCACCTCATCCAATCGATGCCTGTGTCCTGTGTCTCCGAATACCCTGCCCATGCAAGTGTACCGAAGGCCGGGGACGAACCAATTCACCATCCACACGCGGAGGCGGCATCTTGTGCAGCCTGCGATTTCAGCTCGACTCACAGTTACGGTTCAAAGAAAAGGGCAAGCTCTTCCCCATCAAATGTACGGAGTCCTTTTATCGGAGAGCACTGAATTATCTCTGCTCCATATATATTCCTGGCCGTCCATTGTCCTGGCCTACCAACGCCTGAGCACTGTCTGTCATATAACCGTCTAATCAGTCGTAGAAGTAAGGAAACCACGCATGCATCATGGCCACGTTCCTTGTAAATATCACCCTTCATAAAGGCTTGCAAAGCAGCCAGTCCGTCAACAAACCATGCGTACAAAGTCTATAAGCAGATCTTTGGTCCCTGCCATACTCGACTCATCCTGTCTGGAGACCTCAGTCCTCGATGAATTCAATCATTACGGTGCCTTGTTTGAGCCCAGTCTCCTCAATAGTGCTGTCCACATCTCCAATTAGATCCTGGCCTTGTGGCATCTTCTTTAGCTCGAACTCGACGCCATCTTTACCTGGCATCGGCTCAGCCTTGAGCCACTCGTAAATCCGGCGCACCGGATCTCGCAAGTTGAATCGTCGAATGACACGACCCGTAGGGTGTCTAAATTGTATTCTGGTTGTTGTTGCGGGATTATTCTCCGGTTCTGTGTGCGGTTTCCCGCTGGATATCAGGGCGAAAACACTTTGCTCGGGTGCCACTTCGGGCTCTTTGCCCTTGCCGCCATCTCCCACGCCATCACTGGGACCGGGCGATTTCGTAAAGGCATCTGGATCTTGAATGTTTGGTGTCGACGTCGATCGACTGCTTTCGCCGCCACCAGCTGCAAGGCTATTCTTCAAGGCCATCTCCAGCATTTCGTCCTCGGTCATCCGGTCTACATCCACCACTGCCGGCTTTCGCGTTGTGGACTTGGCAACGGGATTTTTGCTATTGGCAGCGAGACTGTATCTGTCTAGGAACTCGGCCAACTCGGCGTGAAATTCAACAGCAGTTGGGAAAGGCCGCCCACTCCATACCTTGACCTGTTCTCCAGTTCTGGGATCGACAATGGATACATGAGGGTAGTTGTCTGGATTCTCGTGTGTTCGATTGGGAAAGTAAAAGGTGATGTACTCTTCGGCATCTGGATAGTCCTTGTCATACTGTAAAAAGATAAAGTTCTCAGATACAAGCTCCTTAACCGCTGCATCTTTCCATATATCTCGGTTGAGGGCCTGGCAGTTGAAGTCGTTCATGTCTTGGAGATTGACCAGGATCCATTTCTTGTCTTCTTTCCCCAGCGTTCTTGCTTCGTCCCAGCTAAAGCGGGCCATCAGATCATACGGTGGTCGAAAGAGGTCCTCTAATCGTCGCGCGTGGGTTCCATTTTCCGTGGTGCTGGGTGGTGTCACGCCGGGAGCATCACCCCAGATTCGCTGAGCGAACGGGCCGCCACTACGAGCTACATGCCGCAAATCAGTAAAAGGGGCGCCGAGAGTAACCCAGAGACGGAGAAGCCTCATGATAGTAAAAGAAGAGGACTTACGAGGGGGATGTCTTCTATTCCGCAGATGCTCCAGAAACCTTCGAGTCGTCTCGTCATCTACAGCACCATCCCAGGCAGGATCCGGAGCAACAAGTGTCTCTGTCGTTCGTGCGATAGGAGCCCTGACATCATCGTGTGCTCCTGGTCCGGCCGAATTACCTTGGTACAGCTCTTCCTGCAGCCGCTTTGCCATGGCGGCATCCTCCTCTTCTTGCGCCATGGCCGCCGCGTGTTGAGCTGCAGCTCGCTCGCCATCGTCACCACTTCCCGCATCATCGACCATCATGACATCGTCGTCATCATCGTTATCATCGTCATCGTCACTTATGTGAATGATACCGCTTGCGTCCTCGCGGCCAATATGGGGGCGGCGCCTCGATGAAGATGTTGGGTTGGCTGGACCGGAGGTCGGTTCGGCGATGCCAGCACCAACTCCAGAGGCAAGCTCCGGGTTTTCGTAAAATAATCCAATGGCTCTTTCGAAATCACCGTTTGCTATCTGAAGGAACCCGCGAGCCACATCTGCAGTTGCTCCGGTAATAGCGACAAAGGAAGAGATGGATTCGTCCATGTTGCCACTGATAATTCAGGACAGCGAGCTTGCTGATGGTTGTCCTCGCTGGTGGTGGTTGTTTCGGTAGGCCTTGCGCCGTCCCTGTCAGTCTCGTTGCGTCTGCCAAAGTGTTGTTTGTTGTTTTCGAGTGAGCTTTATGGGGTTGTGGTATGTTTGGGTGAAGTGACTTGAAAGTCACAAGGCCAGTTCGGTTTGCGTTGGTAGCTTTTTCAGGACAAGGTCCTCTGCCCCTCACCTCAACGGTCAAACTGTCGGAACTCAGTCGGTGAGTGGCGGCGGCTGGATTCCCCAGGTTCATGCACTTGCGTCAAGGTGCATGCTCTCCAGAGATTGCAGGGAGTGAAGTATGCAAGATGAAAGATGCAGGAAAAAGGCAAAATACAACCAAGTCGAATGCTTTCGTCTATCGCGAAACGGAAGACGGACACCACGCTGGCGGGGAATACCGGCGGCTCAAAGGCGGAAGGCACCAGACGTCTCTGGAGTTGTCGTCGGGATATATTGAAGCCGGCTGGGGCTACGCAACCAGACTTTCAGCACATGCATGCACTAGACGCCATGACGCAACACCCACCGGCCGCTGCAAGAGGCTCCTGGCTGCTGCAACCGAACATCACCGACGTCACAGTCTCATCACCTCATCACTTTATGATTTCATCAACGTTGTAGCCTGACGTCCCCTTGCTGAGACTGTCGCAAATCAAAATACACTCCATTCAGCATTCCAAATCGCAACATCTGTTCCATACGCTAAATCTATGCCTGCCTAGCTTTGAGCTTGCCTAATCTGCCCCAAAACCTCCCTCCACGCCTTCTGCACATCAGCAGATCTCTCCTCCCCCAGAGCACTTGTCACATTATTCTCTAGTGAACGTGGAAAGTCCGCCTTTCCAAACACACCCTTGGACCTCGCGTCTAGTATCTTGGACAGTGCTTGGACTCTCTTGTTCCGCTGGGACTCCGTACCAGTCTCTCCTCTATCAATGTCCAGGCTCGCCGTGTAAGCGGCAAGTATGCCTGAGCCTTCAAACTGCACGGGTAGTGAATCCATGATGTCTGTTAACTTTGCCGCATCCGCCATGAGGTCGTGCACACACTCATACCATATTTCTCTCTTGATAAATTCAAATCTCGCAGCAGCAAGATAGGGTTTCAGAATCCTGATAATTTCTCCAAGCGAAACGCGAATATCGATGGTCTTGGAGCGACTGTATCCTCTGGCAATGGCTTCGAAGGCGTTCTTGGCCGTCTTCGAGTCGAGATCCTCCTTCTGGTTCTCTTTGGAATCGACATCCATCTTGTCTTCATCCTTGTGCTCTTCAAGATATGGGGAAGCGATATCAGCAATGTCCTTGAGCATATTTAGGTCTGGACGAGCCTTGGCAAACCTCCATAGACAGCGGAAGGCATAAGGTCGATACTCGTCATTGTTGCGCTTTGCTTCTCTGATGGCAATCTTCTTCATCTGCGCAGAGATCACACTGTCGTTCTTCCAGAGAGGCTCGCCTCGTTCGACGAAGAGGGGGTATGACTCGAGAAGTTTCTCCTTCCCTGGGAAGGTCTTCAAAGCCAAGGTCTTGTCAAATACTGGCCAAATGGCCTTCAAGTTGGCCTCGTCAATTACTCCCGTAGCTTCACTAGCGTTGGCTACATCAGCCACCATTGCAGCAACCGTGAATGCGCCTGTGTGGCGGATAGCCCACTGCGTAGTCTCCAGGCAGCGCTCTACAAGGCCGACAATTTCTCCTACATATCTCGTGACGGTGCGACTGCTTCCCGCATGCTGATTCCAGACTTCCTGGAACACCTTTCCGGTGTATTCATCCGTATCGTGAGAACCGAGATACGCAAAAGGCAAGAGCTCTGTTTCTTGGGCAGTGAAATGATCAGGCGAGACCTTGGCCACAGCCACGATTACATCTGCAACCTTTTGCCGGCGACTCTCATCCTCGGCTTGGAAATACATGTTTATATAGCGCTCGCAAAACCGGACCTTGGATGCATCGGGGGCGGCCCGTATCATGTATGCAGCTGCTCTGGCGTATGCCTGGCTCACTTCATCGTTCTTATCCATTGTCTGTTTCTCCAAAATCTGCAGTAGCTTGCCCGCCACTGACTGAATGTCATTGCTATGACGAGTAGCAAGTGTTGTGATGACCCTGCTACATCCTATCTTAGTCGGCATGCCAATCGCACTCTTAATCGTAGCCTCGAATTTAGGAGCAAAAACTGTCATGACTTCCGCATCGATGAAACGAAGACAATTTTCAATTGCCTCCGAGATTGGTGACTGGTTAACCATCTGCGACCGTATTTTATCAATTTGGTCCCGACTCTCTAGCCCGGCGCGCTGGTAGGCGTAGTTGATTTGCTGGGGCTCAATTGTGCTCAGCAAGCCGAGCAGCTGCGGAATCATGTCTGGAATGAAGGGTTTGAGAGCATTGCCGCCGTGCTTGGCAATCTTCATCACAGTAACGGTTGCAAATAATTGGACGTCCTGCACGGTACTCTCGACACCCTTGTCTGATAGCAAGAAGGGAAGAGCTTCTTGCATCATTGCCCTCGCAGCAGCTGCATGGTTGCCTTCTTCCAACTGTCGAACTAGCCCATTCGATAGGGCCATGCAGAGTCGCAAAGCAGCTTCCCTTACGCTGCCCTTGACATCATCCAAAACCTTCAGGGCAGAGGTCCATATTTCGCGATAATACTTTTCGTACTGCGGAAATGGTCGACCCTGGATAAGGTCAGAGATGGCCGCGCAACTGGCTTCTCTGACTCGCCACTCTCTGCCTAGAATGCTCTTCAAGAGATCTTGGATAATGGCGTCAAAGTGATTATCAATAGTGGCGTTTGAATCCTTGACAAGAGCTTTCCAGATATCATCCATCGACCGTTGGACATTTCCATTGGGATCAAATCGATATCTGTACAGCTTGGGATATAATTTCGGGTCAACCTCTGATTCGGACAGAATATTGCTGAGCCCAAACCGACCAAACGCGGATCTCGTGGACCAAGTAGCTGCATTGGCAGCAAGGGACATGAACTTGTAAACCAAGCGTTGATCCCCGACTTCATTGGCCAAATTGACAATATCCTTGTATGAAGTGACAGAGTTGCCCTCGCCTGTAGGTAAGGCCCCCGGTTCAAATAGCTCGGTCTCCTCCTCCACCTTGAGCTGGGTTCCGCTACCAGTGAAGGCGGACACAAGATCCTTGACCAGCGCGGATTTGAGATCCGCGTCACCACGCTCGTATACCAATGACAGCCCGCGGGATGCTGTCTCCTGCACAAGCTCGTCTCGCGCGTTTAGAAGCCTCATGAACGCTGCTTGGATTTCCCGAAGTCGTGACTGCACCTCAGAAAGGTGGGAGCCGAACTGCACAATGGAAAACAGCCAAATGCCGGAAGCTTTAAGCAAAGATGGCTTCGTAGCTTTGGAGTCTTGCAAGAGCTTCTTCAACACGGCTTCGATGAGAGGCCCTCGAGCACCAGCAAAGTTTGCTGGGTTTCTGGCTTCAACGTCCATCCTTAGTTTGACGCTATTGGAATCCCATCTTGCTACCGCGGCGGTAATGGCATCGCCAACAGTGAATTGAACCTCGACTCGCTTGATTTCGTGAAGGGAAAACAAACTCTTGAGAATGTCTCCCAGGACACCGGAAAATTCATCGCTCGTTGCTTGACTGCCGCTATCAACTTCCAACCCCGTGGCGAGACTTCCCAAAGCTGTAATTGCTTTTTCGTTGGCCTTCTTTGCCTCGGAGGTCAACTTTTCAATAACCTTTGTTAATGAGTGCTCCCCTCCCATTGGAGGTATAGCCAATTTAGCAACCCAAAGTTGAGAAAACGCCTCCAAAGTTGAATCATATAGAGAAGTGCGGGCTGCCTCCTTTAGTAACAGGTGCAGTGGATACTCGGTTGGCGCAGAGAATGGACGGTCGTAGTACACAGAGCGTGATGTCAAATGACTGAACGCGAGCAAGGATCCTTCAGCAGCATTTGCTTCGGCACCAACCAGATTTTCCGCGTTCACAAACAACGACTTTAGTGTCATAAGCCAGTTACTGACGGAGTCAGCATCATTGGCAGGGTGGCCTACAAGAACTCCTAATGCTCTTGCGGCTAATGAACGAATCTCTCTGTTGTTTGACTTGATCAAAGGCAGCAAATTTGTACTTGTATCCGTGAGATAGCCCAAAGGGCCGCCAGGGCTCCATGCGGCCATCTGAACAAAACACCGGAGACACTCTTCCACGACCGATGAGCCCTCTATGAGTGCGCCCTCCAGACAAGCTTTGAGATAGAAGACGATGTAACCGCTGTCAATGGAGCGTAAATATGCGCGTACCTTATCCCTAGTTGCTACGTCCGTCGTGATTTGCGCATCGAGTATCTGCATCCAGTCCGGTTTGATATCAAAATCATCAAGAGCTGCGAGGAGCATCATCTTTTTGCAATATTGAAGAGCTACTGGAAAAGCGGCAAGACGGGATCCTTGAAAGTTTTGGAACACGGCCTTATCTGGAACAACGACGGCATGGGCATTTCCTTGCGGCTCATTATGCCGCTGCGGCTCAATGGCCAAGTCGAAGTACGTAGTTGTCATTTCTTTCCAGTCAGGTATTTGCGGGTCTGCGTCAGTATGTGCAAAATACGTCCACGGGTCCAGCCCCTTCTGCCCCTGTTCAATGACATCGTTCCGCTCATTGGTTCTACCCGCAATAGCCAAGATGTCGATCCAACGGGCAACGACGTCTGAGAATGGAAGGCACTGGTTTGCCCACTTCACAACGGCGTGCCTGGTACTTCGGACAGCAGGCGCCGCATCGGGCAGTGACATGTATGTCAGAAGCATTGTCTTGAGTACAGAATCGATGCCGCCGACACTGGGAGGTATAGCTGCTGCGAGGCTAGAAAGGGCCCCATCGATATTCACAACGGCCTCCCCGGTGTTGTCTTCCGACAAGGAGCGGAAGAGCCAAGCACTGAGATCAAAGCGTTCATTGGCTGGCAAATCTGCGCTTCGTGCCACCATGCCAATGGTTTCGTAGGCTCTGCATCGCAAAGCGACGTCATCATGCGAGGCCTGCTCTGGAACCGGCCATCCCTGGCTCTCGATATAAGACCGCATGGCGCGAATGAGGGGTGGTCCAATGGTGAATTCTGATTTTGCTGGGCCTACCTGAGCTACCCAGGCTAGGAACTGGAAAAGAGCTTTGTGTAGCTTTGTTCTCTCCAGAGCACTAGCTGGCTGCAGGGAAGAGGCGCTATCAGAAATCTGCGGCAGGAAGTCCAAATTTACAACAGCCATGATGCTGTCAGACTTTCCAGTGGCAATGGTTGACTTGGACAAAATTGACAGAATACGCGCACGGTATGGCGCTGGAAGCTGGGAATGGGCTCGGAACAAACGGTCCACGAGGTTTTCATCCTCCATAGAAACGCTGCTTCTTTTGATAATCTCTTCTGCTGTGGAGGCCACTCTATTATCGAAGCCCGAAGCGGCAAACAGAGCAGGAAGAAATCGTTCCTCGTCTTTGAAAGCTCCACTTGCGAGCAGTGTGACCGACTTGGATTTCAGTTCCGTAATTCGCTTGAATATTTTCTCGTTTTCAGGAGACTCGTCTGGGAAGAGAGCCAGTTCCTCTCGAGACAATGCTGGATTTGATTGCGCCAAGGTTTGTGTAGAGTTTGGTGTTCTGAGACGCAGAAAGATGCCAATGGCTTTCGCCAGAAATTGCGCATCAGCATCGTCGCCAAGACCAATAGCTGTTCGGAAACCCTCATCATCTTTGCTCCCTCGAGGCGGTATGCGAATATCCAGCAGGAGTCTGAGAATGATGTTGAAGACGGTTGCTGCCCTCGGTTGTCCCTCATCATGCGCAAAACCGGCCAATGCGATAGGGATAAGATCCCGTCTTTCGTCTACATCGAGTCTGTCCAAACTATGTAAAATAAAGGACAGGTCCAAACGCTTAATGACACCAGAGTCTGTAGATTTGTATTGTTGCAGCAGTCCCTTTACCGGCAGCACAATCCTAATCTCCTTGGTCAGTCAATTGGCTCGTGTATGCAGCATCATCGGGGACACGTACTCGGGAGATTGAATAAAAGTCTTCAACCGTGCAAGAATTTGGATTACCTATTCAAAGTTAATGACGTTTCCCACCGCCTCAAGCCATGCAGTTATTACAGTTCATACCCTCGCCCGGACCGCAGCATGATCACTGGCAGCCTTCAGGATTAGAGGCGCCAGATACCGCTGTAGCAGCTCATGCAGCTTATCTTCTTTGTTTGCAACGCCCAAGATCTTGAACTCGACACTTTCCACCAGCTTCAACTCACGCTGCTCCGTGGATGCAGCGGCCATGGTGTGCTGTTGAGGGGTATCAAAATGCTCATTAACGGGCAATAAAGAAGAAGAGGCCCAGGCGAAAATACGATTCAAGATTGCTGAAAGGACGAGAGCGGCATGGAAATTATACGCTACATGCAGTATATTCGCGAAAAGCAGGCAACCTCAGCGTGACGACACGGTTGAGACAGGTTTGCATGGTGGATTCACCAAGTTGATAGCTTCCCCAGCCAGCAGCACTGACGCAACAGTCATGACTAAGCAAGCATCACCAGGCACCAGGCGGCAAGCTGACACATGCAGCATTTTGAAACCAAAACAAAATCATGTATTTCGAGTCTCAAGTCTGAACGGTGTATTTCTTCCCATATGATGGTGATTTACAGTCGAATTGAGGTCGCATTGAGGTCGCCTAGATGTCGTCCGTGTGCATCAGTATGAGACGGAACTGGTTGACAAAAGCCGGGGTGCGTCAAGGGGCAGTCAGTGGTCACGATGATATATAAATAGTATATGCTTGCAGATGCACTTTTTGATATTAGTTTCGATGGCACACCGTTTCCCTACAATTAAAGGAAAGCATCTCGATCTCTGCCCAAACCGAAGAATAAGACATGTTGGTACCACCAATTTTAGGAGCCTACCGACCGCAAAGGGCCGATGGACTATGGACCGCGCATGTCCAGCATACGATCCCCACGAATGGCGTTTTATAGTCTCGCAAGCTCAATAGGCCAAGAACCCCCCCGGCAGAGCAAGTACACGCGATAAAGGCAGCGGCATCGTCTTGAAAACTATTGTTGTGGCGTTGATGGCGGCCAAGAAGCAAATGTATTCATGTTGGTGTTGCAGGGTCAAGCACCGCCTTGGGCCACGGGCTCTTTGGACTAACTGTAGCCAGACCCTGGTGCCGTGTGAGGACAGAAGATTATTTAACATCATGAGACCAAAAATAAACTAGCGCGGCGAAGTGAGATGCAACATACGTATGTACAATAGCAAGAGTCGTCGCCAATTTGTGGGCTGGAACAAAGAATGCAGCTAGAAGATCCCCATACTCTGGTCAATGCACTCTCAACCCACCCCGAGTTTTGTCCTTTCAGCTGAGGATGGCCTGGGCCCTGCAGGGACCCTGGCCGATCTTGCAGGGCAACTCGTCGTCAGACGGCTGATGCCCAAATCTACGCATACAATGTATGTGTCGGGACTCGGGAAGGTTCTCGTGAGAGTTGGACCCTTCTGACCTCGGATCGCCGATTCAAAAATGTTATACGCCAACGACCTGTCGGGACCATCGTTGATGGATCTTGTGGTATATTGCTGTACTCGCCCCGAATGCTGCCCAAGAAGTGGTTGGGTCGGTCTGACGGACTTGCCTAATGGATTGAATGCTTTGCGTTCCCTCTTGTTCAGTACCCTGTACAGTACGGCATCTTGCATCGTGAATGGGGACGGAAAGATCGCTGCATGTCTTGGCTATGAAAACGTGTTTTAATTAGCTGCCCTGGTCAGTGTCTGAGCCGTCTCTCTCTTCTTTTGGATGCTGGTCAAAACGAGACAGTACAAGGTTTGACCCGTATTTCGAAGACGTCCTGATCTCATAGAACAATAGGCCTGAGCGGATTGCCGCCAGCAGATTAAGGACTACCTTGGTCCATTCTGTCCAGACTCAAGGCACCCATGTATAATGTAGACCTTTGTGCGTGATTTTATGCCCAACCAGTGATAATAACCTTTTAGTAGCAGGGCAAAAACCGATTTCATGGCATCGGTATTGTGCATATCAAGGCATGTTAGACACACGGCGAAGACATATGACTGGGTGTAATTTGCGGTGAGACAGGCTCCCGCTTCTACAAGGCGGCCGGCCAGATAGATGCTGGGCTGGACGAGAATTCCTTCCGTTTCCATTAGAGTCCACCCATAAGCAGGATATCGTCTGTCTTATGAAGCTGGACGGGTTGCAAGCACTTGCCTAGGTAGGCAAGTACCTTATGTACGGCCCTCTGAAGGATCAATCTTGTCAAACGATAGGGACGCTTGCTTAGACTGCTCGAAGAAATGATGACTTAAAATGTACACACTTGTTGATGGCAAGCCGAGTCATGATAGCACCGACTCTTCGCTAGCAGAGCTGTTTGTTTGCCACATACTTTATGCATGCTCGGCGGCCAAGGACATATATTATACCCACGTACCTAGGAAGTAGGTAGTTAGTAGGTGTCCTGTACGACTACCTCGTCCTTGCAAATTCAAGAAAAGCATGCTGCTCGTTTTGAAAAGCGGCAGGGAGCCTTGCGGACACGGGTACAGACCACTCTCTGTTATTATTATGTATCTCCTCCCGGCAATCCAGGGCTGGGTACTTGCAAAGGCAAAGGCAAAGGCATGCAAGGGGAGCTGAGTGGCGTTTAGCCCGAGACAATGTCGCCATCATGCCAAATTCGGCTCCGGAGAATGAGATGAACCACGGGAATGAAACTGAAGCGAGTGCTGGGTACTCTGTGCTCTGTACTCTGTAAATTGCGCGCATTTTGAGGTCCACGAACTGAAGTCCTTTTCTCACTTTGAAGCAAGCTTGCCGCCGCTCTGCTTCACCTTGTCTCCTCATCAATTTTATGTTTTATTGGTTACGAGCGTGGGGCAAAAACAAAAGGCAAAAAAGGGGTGCATGTGTTTGTCGGTGCCAAAAGGGTGCCAATCACCAACCGGATTCGATGGGCAGAAATTGTCGTGAACTCTATTGTTGCTAGCGCATCAAGTAATCAGACCACGCAGTCAATGGTAGTCGCATCGGGAGATGGCGAATCAACATGACGGTTTTGACATGGTCGAGAACTGGAAATGCGAAATAGTAAATGACAAGGAGCCGGATGATGCTTCAAGGACTCCGAGTTTGCCTGCCCAAGGCGGACCAGATGCTGAAAAGCTGGGCACTTGAGGCTTCTTGGATCCACGATGGTGGTCGCGATGGATTGGCATGGGCCTACGTGGGACAAGCAACTGTCTAGCTTTATCCCTCTGAAGCTTCCAATGCCACCCACAATGGGTGACTCCTCAAGTCGCTGTCGTCATTGAATCGTAACCTGGTGTAAGTAGTCAAGCATTTGTGAAGAGACAGACAGTTGATTGATTAGTACAAAAGTCCAGCATCCACCTTTTAGGTCGGCATGCAGAAGAGACGAGCCAGTCAGAGGCCAGAATAGCCCTGCTGCTGTGACCCTTGCAGCCAGCATTCAAATCCTTGATCAGGCGAATAGGTTCCTGATAGTGGCACTCCTGGACAGCCTAGATTCGCAGTCCGACTTGGGTTATCCTGCGAGGCCAGAAGCGCCATAGATGCGGCGTACGGAGTAGTGCTAGGAAAGGTACTTTAAATGTTCGAGGATCACAAGCTGATGCGGTGATACGCCATGCCTAGAAGGTGGAATTAAGTCTGCCCAAGTTTGACATCTCGCAGAGACGCTTTTAGATGGGCCTGAAGGCAATTGTCGAGTACTCGGAATATGATAGATTGACAATAGACTTTGCTAGTCGCAAGCCACCTGTGGCCGTTGTTGCTCAGAGCCGGAAGCATTTGGGCGGCGTTTCGATTCAACCAGGCCAAAGCCACGGCGATGCCATAACACCAGGCGTTATCACAACCACAACGGGCAACACGCTGTTGATCCGATGGCTATACTTGGCACCCCGTGTGTGTTTGTACGGTACTCTCGAGGTTGTGGAAAGTTTCTTCGGTATTGTACAGCCCGTTGTATTGTGTCTTGCATTGTGATTCTCCAGTTTCTGGCTGTGGTATTTCTAGCGAGCGGTCCGGTCCATGCATGGCCAATGGTCTTGGGGCGCGCCGGAAACAGCAAGAGGCAAAACGGTACTCGGTAATACAGAACCAGAAGGGCGTATTCGAAGCCTATTCACATTCTCGAGGACTTCACGGCCGCCGCTGCGCGCACACCCTGAACGTGTTGTTGTCGCGCCCCCCTCAGGCCCCCTCCCCTCCCCCATGAAATGCACGCCATCCATCCATCCAGAGTCCCACCCTCGATTGCACAATTCGTTTGGGCTTCTTAGGCCTGTCCGTCTGTGTTGGAAACATGGCAATCTGGAGGTCTATTTTGGATTGGTGCTTGATGGCTGGTTGCCTTTCCAACTCCGATCCCGAGTTGTCGATGGCACGTTGATGGCTCATTGAGGGTGCAGGTCAAAGAGACGGCGGCATTTGATCAAAAGGAGACCCACGGGCATCTTGGGTTTCTGTTATCTAACCCCATCATACATATATTTTTCCCTGCATTGTTGTTGCACTTCGTTGCCCCGTTGCTGCATCGCCTTGCATCGTACGCCGTGTGCTGCTTTTCGCGTTTCGTTTCGACCTTCGACCAGACGACATCTGAGAGGGTGGATATACGGAGTTGAAGGACGGACATTTTCGGTGCACGTCCCTTCTTCGCCAGTTGCTAGACGAATCGTTTGGGATATCGATTTGTGCCGACTTGAAGAGCGTAATACTACATCTTGTATTGCACGTGTTTCATCAGGCGGAATACTGCACCAGGAAGCAGAAAGCCGATCGGGTCCTGTCAAGCAGCCAGCCAGCCGCAGTCTTGGGTGTCGCACCCAGATCGAAGCAGCCAGCAGCCAATTGATTGATCCCTGACCTGGTTGAGCAGAACCACGCTAGCGGCGGGTTTTTAGGTAGCTCGGTAGGTACCTAGGTAGGTAACCACGCCCTACCAGTTGGCCCCTTCAGCACACAATACATACATACAGATGCTTGCATCGAGTCCCGGTTGTGCTGCACCGCATGCCCCTGTCACATGCTCCCCTTCGCGCTTCTTGGCCGCCCGCTTGCCTCCTCTCTCCCTGCTGCTGTTAGTGATCAACAGATCAAGGCTGCTGGCCGGGCTGGCTGAGCTGGCTTGTGCGGCGTGGTGCCGCATTGTGGTGTCGCACGCTAGCCTGGAGCCCGTGTGTGTCAGCGTGCAAGTGCATACTGGAGGCGATTTCAAGGACAG